TTTTGTTGATGAGCTCCCTTCGTATAATTTTACCGATGATTTTCTCTATCGATGACTTCCAATCTCGTAACTTACGAAATACTGCAAAAATGTTTTTCGGTTAGTTGCGAATTATTTCAATTATGCAGATGTGGAACATAAATTAGAGTCTGGAATCCTTGACCCCATAGCTATACTTTTCATCGTCTTTTCTTGTCTCTTAGTAGGCGTTGGGTCGGCAGGTATGCCTTCATTATACTGCTTTTACTTGGCCCTGGTACGGCAGCAAGTTCAGATCCCATCTGGACACAAGGATTTTGGATTCTTGATTTTGTCTTTATTGCTGACTAGGAGAAAAAGTGGCAGGCTTTCCGGCTGTTGTCTTATGTGTTTTTGTGGCTTTAGGATCCCAGAATTCGTGGAGTTCTAAATCTTTATGAGCCATAATTTTATTCAGTAGAAGTCCTCCCGGAACGCGAGACTTGTTTTTCAAATGGATTTAACCTTTCACCAAGGGTTCGATTTTGACCATTTTTCCAAATTAGGTCGCCAATACCTCCCTAATGCTTAATTTCCATCCCCGTGATACTCGGAATGTTGTATTACTAGCTAAATCTATCCCCAACTTCATCTAAATATTCGAACCTGAGTATCAGGTCTAGGAGACCTCCAATTCAACATTAAGCCTACCATCGTTTCTTCCTTCTTAGGAAAAAGTGGAGTGGAAATTGGCAAAAGCAAGTGTAAAAGCCGTTTTTTGCTCTGACTATACATTGGCAACAAAGCGTTTTAGATTGAGGCCTTCTGGAGAGCTCATCTCTTCAATCGCTTTTAGTCGTGACTTTGGAGCTTCTGAAGCTCTGAAATGATACCTTCCAGACGTTGATCCTGGCGCTACGGAGATTTAGCTCCAAATTCTCAGTTTTGTCGTAATGACTAGCCTTTTGGATTTTAGGTTGGCATTATCCATGTTTCGGCTTTGGGAGTTTGAATTATCCTGAATCGCCTTTCTGGAAACGCGGTGTATATGTAGAGTTCACAGTTTCGATAACTTAAAGTCCTTATGGATTGGACAGCTGTTTCTATAAATGAAACCAACCCTATATTAAGGGTCCAAAGGCTTTAAAAGTGTTTTGCTTTGTAGGACCTGCTGAATGAAGAGGCTGAGTCTGAAAAAGACAAACACTACGCTCTCTGGTTGGGTGACATTGTCATCCTTGGGTTGGGAGAAAATCGGACCAACCAAGTGCTCACGGCTGCGGCCAAGCGTCGACCCCGCGCTGTCTCGTTGTATATCGAAGAAGATGAAGAGGAGGAGGAGGCGGAAGGGGCAGAAGATGAGAATGTGGATGGGGAAGGTACCGATGCGAAAAGACGCAAAAAAGAGGTCTCAGGTGCTTCTAAGGATGGGTCCAGGCCGGGTTTTGGCGGTGGTGGCGGTCTTGAAAACGGTGATGTTGATGGAGGTCCGGAAGCCCTTGGCAGGGGGCATCGGCGGGCTATTTTGGATCAAAAAACCAGGGTATGAGTTTTATCAACATTATTGATATGATGGAGGGTTTTCATCTGATTCAGTGAAAGGGGAGTTCGTTATTGAGATTAGTCTCAAAAGTCTCCATTCCCAACGCTTATGGAAAGAGAAACCAGTCGTTCCTTGACTAGATCTTTTGATGAACAAGAGATGACGATAATCCGTCTTTCCCACCTTTTCACGCCGACTTGTAGAGCGAGCAGACCGCGGAGGAAAAGCGATTACAACAGCGCCGCGAGCTCTTCCAACAACTCCAGGTGAGTGCGCGCAATCGTCTCTCGGGTCTCAAGGCGGACGGGGAGACGGGTCAGAAGGCAAAATCCAATGTGGCCTACAAGGGCGCTGGGCAGATGCCCAAGGAGGACGACGTTCGCAAGCTGCGCATCTTCGTCGGTGAGTCAGCTTCCCTACCCCTTTGCTTCTTGCATGTCCCTTATCTCGTTCAGCCAAATTAGGTTGGCACTGCACTATTTTGCTTTGTTTTGCCTTGACATCTAGATAAGAAGTACGAAACGGTTATTCTGCCCATCTTTGGCCATCCCACACCCTTCCACATCAGTACCATCAAAAACGTATCCTCATCCATCGAAGCCGATTACACATATCTGCGAATCAACTTCCACCATCCTGGCGCTGTTGTTGGTCCCAAGGATGCCTCTAACTTCCAGGTGGGTGCTTGAAGCCTAGCATCTATCATCCATTCATTCTGAAGGCTCGGTGATGCAGGCCACTGCGGAAGAAGTTTCTGCCAAGTAGTTTTTATGGTAACGGTTTAAGGTAGGATTTATGATTCCCGTATCTTCTGCATGGCTAGCTGGTTTAAGGATGGATTTATTTGGGGAAAAGTACCACAGGCTGGGTATTAACCTATGGTGCACCAGTCACTTTTCTTGGCAGCATTTGTCCCAAAGTGCCACGAGGAGCGAGAGAGTATCATGTTTACGTCAGGCTAGGAGAGAGATTACTGTGTCTAGGATCCTGTAATAGGACTTTTCAATCCTTGAGACTTGATCCGCAGCATTGTGCAGAGCCCGAAAAGAGGAGCTTGCCCAGAAGTAAACGTCGTTTCGAGACTTCAGCCCTCCATACCAGATGTCTTCCTCTTTTGACACTTAGGTTTGGCAACCAGCCGACGATCCGCTTCACCCTGTTGCCCCAAGTGAATGCTTGCAATCATCCTTGAAGGCGTGGTCCTAATGGTGATGGGGAGTTAAAGGTGTGGGAGTCCTGAAATCTGGTACTATGAAGGGTTTTCAAGTCACCTCGGGACCTTTGGCGTTTGTAAAAGAGCATATTCTGGCGAATAGAAGCTACATTCTTTTTCCTCATAGTCCTCAGCGTTTCCTTAGCACCTAAAAGGTGGCTTCGGTGTAGCCATTGTCTGTACTATTTTATGACAGGCAATGGGTTGATCGAGCGTTTTATGACCTGAATGATTGTCAGGCCTATGAACTGGGAGGCACCGTATTTGGAATTGTCACTGACACAAGGGCGTCCGTTCTGGAATCGTTTGTACCAGTCAGACGATCTCCTGCCGTGGGTTGCGCCCGCGTAACGTAATGTGTTTGAAGGCCTCTGGGGAGGTGGGAGTGTTTGCGGGTTTGGGTTTTACGCCTCCTTTCTCGAGAAGCCTCTTAAATCACCACAGGTTGTTGCGTGTATGCGCTTACTACCACTGCTGATTGCCAACTTGATTAACGGTGTCTGAATTGGACTGCTCCTTGTGGTGCACCAGCTAGTGGTGAAGTTAATTGAGGCCATTTGTCACTTAGTGCCGCCACAATTTTTCGCCTTTTTCATCCATGTCTGGAAAATGAAAGGTTTAGTTTGGCTTCACCATCAACACCACGCAGAGCCTGGAATTAGAGCTCGCCAGAAGCCCTCCCATAGTGTCTTCGCAGATTCAGACATTCCTTGTTTTTTGGGTCGAGTTCGAGTTGTCTTTCAAGCCGTAATTAGGCATGTCAGTACAAAACTGGTCTTACCGCTAGCACGTAAACGTAGTTTTTTTTGTTCCACAGAATCCACAGGCTACCTTTCTGAAGGAGATGACCTACCGGGCATCAAATCAGCGTCACCATGGGGAGACGACGAGCCCGTCAACGAACCTGAACAACGCCTATCGCATCATCAAGGAGGTGTTGAAGAAGTTCCGCTCTCGCGAAGCCGAGGAGAAGGAGCGCGCCAACTTGGTGGAGCAGGACAACCTGGTCATTGAACCGGGAAAAACGGCTTTTCGGCTACGCGACCTCTACATTCGACCCAACATCGTGGCCAAACGCATCACTGGTGGGTCCAGTTTACCATCTTGTTGACTGTACTCTTTACTACCCTTTGTTCTTGAATTACTCCCCACTTTTTGCCATCACCGCCGTCGCTTTCAGGTACGCTGGAGGCGCACAGCAATGGTTTCCGTTTCACCTCCATACGTGGCGATAAGGTGGACATTCTGTACAACAACATCAAGCACGCCTTCTACCAGCCCTGTGATGGTGAAATGATCATCCTACTGCATTTCAACCTCAAGGTGCGTGAAATACAAACGCTAATACCTTACTCACTCAATTAATGGATAAGGGGATCTCATTTTGCTACACTTTAGAACGCCATCATGTATGGAAAGAAGAAACAGGATAACATCCAATTCTACACCGAGGTGGGTGAACTGACCACGGATTTGGGCAAAAGCCACAGTCGAATGTACGACCGCGACGATTTGGAGGCTGAGCAGCGGGAACGGGAGATGCGAGAACAGATTAAAACGGCCTTTAAGACTTTTGTGGAGCGCGTGGAAAACCTGGCCAAACGTTACAACCTGGAGTTTGAGGTGCCCTTCCGCGATCTCGGCTTCTACGGTTGTCCGCTAAGGTAACCTGCAGGTGAAATTGTACGAACACAGCCGCCGGCCGGTTGCTTTACGATGTGTCTGTTTTCCTTAGAACCACTGTCTTCATGATGCCAACGAGCAGTTGCCTGGTTAGCCTCAGTGAATGGCCGCCCTTCGTGATCACCCTGGAGGAGGTGGAACTGGTGATGTTTGAGCGTGTCTCCCTCTCCATCAAGACCTTTGACATGATATTTGTGTTCAAGGATTACCGTATCAAACCCGCCATGATTACCTCGATCCCCAGCAACTCGCTGGATCATGTAAAGGAGTGGATTCTGTGAGTTCGAGACTTGGTCTTTCAGTAGCTCTTCATGTAAGCAGCCTTTAACGCCCAGCCCGTAGAGTTGAAATCTTGCTGGTATATCTAGCGAGGTTTCTCCACAGTACCAATTAAATCTTCCCCTTTTTCATCGATGGAGTACGTGTCGATCCCTCCATTCAAGCAACTCCGTCTAGAGCCTTTTGCAAATTTGACAACCTTGAGACACAAGATTTGTCACTTGGTGGAAATACCTTTGTCATTTGGTGAGTTTGTTGGATCAAGGTCTCGGCATGGGCATAAAACGGTTATTGGAGTCTTCATGAGGACCTTTTGCTTGATGCTCAGTTACCGCACCAACTGGGTGAATAGCTGTCTCTGTGGAAATGACCCTCTGCATGTAGAGTCCCTCTTGTTGGTAGTTGACGGGGACTGCTACTTCTTTGTTCCACAGATTCAGCACACATGTGGACCTCTCGGTTGTACTTGCAGTCCTTTCAAGAGTTCTCCTTTCTTCCTTTTTGAGTGCGGGAACCCCCATCTCAAGAATGCAACACCTGGGGTCATGAAGTCTGTGGTTGATTGCGAGATGCTTGTGATCTGAGATCCGCGCTATTTGCCAGGTTCTAGATATTGCAGGTTTCGCTTTAGACTTTGGAACTGTTACCTTGTTTTGTCACCTCTCTTGTGACGCTGAGTTCACTCGCATCAACTGTGATTGTGCCTTGGCTTTGTGTGCTAGCACCCGCATTCAGCAACTCCATTGTGGTGCTGGTGGTGCTTGAGATAGCTGTGCAGCCTTATGGGAGCGAAGCGGTTCCTGCCTTTAAAGTATGCGGGTGGATGGTGGTGCGTTTGTTCCCTGAACGAATGTTGGAATACGAAAGCCACTTCTTATCAGCCAACAAACAACCTGCAAAATGTGTGAAAGGAGCGAAGAACAAACAAATAGACGTGAACTCCTGTCTGTCAGCAGCTTCCACTACCTTCTCTTCGCAGTTGAGGTCGGAATCAACGACACGTTCTATCAGTAGCTACGATGTGTAGTTCTTCATAATGAAGCATGGAGGGTTCTCCTGAGTCTGATGCATGTTTCTTTGAGTAATTCGTCAATGGAACGATTTTTTTAACCATTCAGTTCTAAGTGATACGTTCTGCTACCACGTCATCTTCAAGTGTCATGTGACAACCTTTTTGTGATACAGCATTTATCAGATTGGTCCGGCAACCACTTTCATTCATATGTGGGTGGGCTGAAAGTGAGAGGGAGACGGTCAGGAGCACTGATGGACTGCCTCATATTAGCGCCTCGTAATGCGTACGAACAATCTCAAGCAAGCTATTCCATCGCGTGAACTCTTCAAGCCGCTGGTTGTGCAAGACTTGAGCCTATTTAGTAACCTTTAGTCTAATTGATTTCTCTCATGCGTGGAGGCGGATTCGTGGCGTGTAAGAGGGTAAACACGACCTTTTATTCTCTATGGTGATCGACCACTTGCACACATTAATTCAACTAAATTACCAGGATTTTTCCTCTCAAAGAGCGCTTCATTTAATAGGCGCTAACTTCGAGCCTCCTTGCTTTGAACCTTAGGACTAAAAATCCAAACTACTTGCCCTGAAGTTTTTTTTCGCTTGGCAAGTCAAGTTTTATTCGGAACTTTGAGGCAGGATCTCTGTGAATTGTCCATGGTGTGGACTGCGCCTTCCCACCCACCCCCTCTTCTCGTCACTACACTCTCCAGTCATCCTCTACTAAGTGGCTGACAAGCTGACACCTTAACTCCAGCTGTCGATAAAGTAGAGTTCCCGTTCCTAGGCAGGTTATCATCGGCTTTTGTTTGGTGTCTGTTTTGTCACCAGCTCCTGCGACATCTACTACGCGGAGGGCGTGCGGTCGATGAATTGGCCGAAATTGATGAAGACCATTATTGACGATCCGGAAGACTTTCTGGAGCAGAATGGATGGGCCTTCATCTCGCCGGATGATGTAAGTTCTTCACTTCATACAACTCTAAAAGTGCTCCCTCCCTCCTAGAAATGATCAGTTTGCTGCTGCCGCCGCCTAAGTGTTAATCAAACTTCTAATGACCTTGAACTTCTTAATTATCGATTGAATTGTTGTTTTGATTAGTATAATCAGATTTGATTGGATTGATGGTGTTGTCGCGGAATCCATAAGGGTAAGGTAGATTTACTCGTGAAATGATCGGCTTGATGTCGTCATCTAGGCGGAATACGAATGCTAAAATACTTGGAATTGTTTGTTGATCATCTGCCAGACAAAATAATCGAGTTTGTCTGTAGCGAAAGAGTTAATCCCACAGCGTTGCCTTTTAGAAGTGCCGAGTCGTGAAGCCTCTCAGCAATAGTTGTTTATTTCTCCTTCATCCGGACAACTGCCCTATTCGACATTTTCTCGCTTCCAGGCCCTCGTTTTTAAAATGAAAACCATTCACTTCTGATTTCGGGTTAGGGAGGAACCGCTTTAGAATCCTTCAAAAGTAGCTCAGGGACTTTAGAAAGTGGTTCTTCCATCGCTTCTAGATTCACTAAACGTCATGAAACAGGCGGGCTTTTAAACTTCTGTTGAATCGGCATCTCAAAAAACCGGAAATCTCGTCTTTGTTTATTGCTGACAGAAATGGACCCGTGATTTTGCCTTGGGCCCCTGAACTGGAGTAGAATGCGGTGTTCAGGGGATGTGGCATTGCATGGGGTTTTAGTATTTAATTAATGGAATAAAGAAGGTCTTCCATGGTTCGAGATGTTAATAAACTCTTCTTCTGCCTTCACAAGTGGCTCTTCCAGCATTTGAAGTACGAGAATAAGAGAGAATCTGTAGCCACCTCAAGATGAATTCAAGGACGAGCTCCTCCCTGTCTCCAAAAAGTCAGATAGTTAGGAAATGGATGCTTTTCTCCACTTTCACCTTCCACAAGAACCATTTGTCTACTGGGTTCCTAGTCGAGAAAAGAAAACGTGCGGATGTTTGAATATGCATTCTTCACGGTAGATGTAACTGAAAACATATTTCTCGTCTGAGTTATGCGTCTAGGTATCATTTAACAAGTTACACCGCCTTTTCCTTTCAATAGGACGACGATGAAGATGAAGACGGCTTCGACTCCGATGCCGACGACGAGAGCTACCAACCGTCAATGGACTCCGACGCGGAAGACGACGAAGGCGGCGGTGGCGGTGATGAGGATGGAGACGGTAGTGGTAGCGAATACAACGATGATGATGACGACGATGAGGAGGAGGACTGGGATGCCGAAGAGGAGTCTTCTGCTGAGGGCTCCCTTGACTCCGACGAGTCGGAGGGCAAGGACTGGGAGGAACTGGAGCGAGAGGCTATCCGAGGTTTGCTTCGTCCTGAATTTTTTGCTTCTCTTCAGCCATTTGAGCTCCTTTAATTGTACTCTCCTTCCCTGTTTTGACAGAGGATCGAAAACGCGAGCATGACGATGCGGTGCGAGCAAAGAAGCGGCATCGGTCACCCAGTCCACGACCTGCCAAGAAGGCGAAGCATCATCATCAACGGCGTTGAGAAGACAGGTTTGTCCTCCCTTTGTATCGCTTCCACCCCCTCTTTGTGTACTGTGTATGTGACAGACCGAGGCGCAGTGGGTCTCCTCCGCCTGTTTGCTTGTTCATACTAAACCAAGTGTCGATTTTATTGGGTAATAAAGCGGAGTGAGATTTATTAAACCTCTTTGTTGGCGTTGTTCAGCAGAAGGGCTTATCCTAGCAGGCGCTGATGAGGTGCTGGAGTCTGGAAGTGAGAGCCTCGTGCTTCTGTAGTGGAGGTCGAATCGCCAGGCACCGAAAAGGCTTGATGTGTCTGCTAGCCTCCATCTTGTGTCGTGAGAGTCTTTCTGGGCACTCCCTGAATCTACTTCCAGGGTGAGGAAGATCAGGCACCGCCTTCTGCATCGTAGATTTCGGTTAGTTCCCACCCGCCACATCTTCACTGTGGACTACTCCGAGTCGATTTAGTTGATGGATACTGCCCGAGGTACGTCGAGGTTTGACAGAGAACGCGTTCCACCTTCCAGTTTAATTTGTTCAACAGCGACAGGGTTTGTTAAAAGACTCGAGTCTCATGGAAACCCAAGTTGGGATGTTCCTTGCTTCACCACTTGACGATCGGATGGACAGGTCTGGAAGTGGCGACATTATGGCCTCACAGAGGATCTACCATCTTGAGGGTACAAGTGAGATGAGCGAATGGCATTCTTTTTTTCGTCCGAATGGTGTTCTGTTTTGTTCACGAAAGACGCACAAGTCGACCGCTTGGAGGTTGGCGGGAGTCAGATGGACGGTTGAACAGACGGAGAGAAGGATGAATAGTATAGGGCAGTTAAGTTGGTCAGTCTTCTGGAAAAACTTAAATTGTCACGGAATTCAAGAGATGGAAGCACTCACAGTTTACTCGAGGTCGTTTTCTAGAGTCTGTTTCCAGTCCCGCCTTACAAACAAATTCCCCATTTGTCTCCCCTTACCCCTCCCTTCTGGAACAATCGGTTCAAAGCGACCTACACCTGGAGGTATGGGACGAATCCGATGGATGGCGGAAGTGGCGGAGTCTTTCTAAAAAACAATTCTGCTTGCTGGATTTATGCACCAGCAAGGAGGCTTCTAACCGCCGAATAACGACGTATTCAGCGAGGCGCGAGTATGAACAGCCAATGAACGCGGGGGACATACGGCGTGGTGATCAACGATTTGGCATGGATCACAAAGTGATCCCCTCCCCGCCAACCGAAAGAGGCCAAAGGTGAGGCCGAGATCGCGGACACCGCTGATCCGATTGACGATTGCACTCACCGCATTGCTAGGAGCAAAAGCTGATTTACTTCAGCAAGACCAATGGAGTGACAAGAAGTTTACATCACAAATGTCATTTGAGATTTATTCAACCACACAGACGTCAAGAAGGAAAAAGAAAATGGCAAAAATAGTAGTCATCACAGGTAAGGAAAAACACGAACGCGCATACAATCGACTAGATCTTATCCATCGCCTCGCAGATGCCTGCCAGACCGTCCGCAGTTGCACCGGGTTCCAAAGAGTTGGGGGCAGCAGCAGCGGTGCGGAGAATATCGAGAAAGTGATCTCTGAATCCACCATCTTCAGTGCTTGATGAAGACGATGGCGGGAGGAGGAATGATGCAGCGCGAAGCAGATCCAGACACTGCTTCTCTTCATCCCTTTCCTCCCACTGGAACCACTCAGGTGAAGGAAGGTGGGCTAGACTGATGGCTAATCTAGAAGGGAACGATTAATCGGTGATTAATTTGTGTCTGAGATGGAAACGAAAACAGATCCCACCTCCGTTGAAGCGAACTACTTTGGTTCTTCATGGAGGAACGCCATCGTTGTGATGGATGGCACAAAAAGGCAACCACAAGAAACGTCCAGGAACACTATTTAATCGTCTACGAGGTCTCCAAGGCGTGCTAGACAATATACACATCCAAAGTGAATCGTTTCCGATTTGAGGAAAAGAAAGAATGAGGACTCGCAGCTAAGCAACGACTTTTAACCTCCCTTAGGCACTTTCTGGACATTTTAGAGGTGAATGGACTGTCATGAAAGAAGTCAAAGACGCCGTAATTCAAATACCCTCATCATTCTATCAGTCGCCGTCTCGAAACAGACACAAGGAAAAGGAAAAAGTGACGGATCGCACCAAGGCATGCAACTGACATGGAATGTATTGTCTCACAATTCAACTCCGTGCCACATTCGAGCAACAGAGTGCACACAGCCGCCACCCAATAACCGTGACAACGAAGAGCTCTCGGCGACGTCTGGTGGAGAATGGAGGGGAGTGTCAAAAGCACCCACTCTCGAGCCACTTTAGCTCCCCTCTGGACACCAAAAACGGTCACCACAGCTGCACGAAGCACTGCAGTGGCCAGACGGATGTAGGCCTGGTCTGTACGCGCCACCTCCGCCACCGCTTTGTTCACAAGACCTCCCAGAATGGTGGAGAAAGAGGGAGAAGGGGAGGATGCGGCAGCTAGAAGGCATCTGCCAAGGTCTTCCAGAAAACTGCTCAGACTTAGGGAGATGCAACGCGCCTCGAGAGGAGAGGTGTGTGAACCAATGGGAGGTGGACGATTGGTAGGGCTGCCGAGCCCACGAAGGCACTGCCAGAGACTGGTTAGGTACTCCGTGGAGGTGCTCAACAACACGTCCGTTGAAGGTTGATCCAGAGAAGACCTAATCCCGCCGTCACCATTGGCACTGACGCTACGATCTGGGGATGCACGCAAGAGGAAATCGGCGTTGAGGACGTAGAGAGTGGTGGTGAGAAGACTAAGAGCTAGTAGACGAAGACGCGTGGAATTGGCGCAGGATAGGCGTTCCGCTGCCTGCTTGGCCAACACCTTGGAAGAGGAGAATGACCTAAGTAGTGAATTTCGGACTATGCCGGTTTCTCTCACCTACTGGTTTGTTAGACCCCCCATACACCTCTAATGCACCCAACTGTTTGACAACCAACATCCAAAAAGGTACCTCGCATTCCTCCCTCCGAAGTACTCCACTTAGAAGTAGTCGCTGTATTCCACAAGTCCACGCCACCACAACCGAATCCGCGCACACTAGGGTTGCTTGGGTGTCTGCGAAATGATTTTTGAACACCTCGAAGGAAAGAAAACCAGAAGAGTCATTTTCGAGTTTAACTTCCTCCCCCCCTCCCGCGCCCCTCTTCTTGGCGTTACCTCAGCCAGACGCATTGGCGGTGTGAAGACAGGCGAAGTGTCTCGTAGCATTGCGTTAGCCAGCCTGACAAGGTGATTGATGAGTCGGGGAATCAGTCGACTAAGAGCAGTCGACTCATTTGTTACCAGCGGAGAGAACTGCTCGACGATGTAGAAGGCAGTGGCGAGGACGGTACACTGATGCGATGCAGTGCATTCCGCCGCCCATTCAGTTGGTGGACGCGGTTTGAAGGGGATATCGGCTGGTGAGGTGGAAGGGACATCAGCGCTACTTAAATGGGGTTATAAGTAGGGAGTCAGTACAGATTTTTTTTCCCCAACCTACCTGCCCGGTTTAGAGCAGAATTGACGCCGCGACCGGAAGTGGAGGCGGTTCGGACAAGCCCGGCGGTGATTTTAGCGACACTACTGCTGCCACCGCTGCCAGCAATTCGCAGAGAAGCAAAGCCACTGTCTTTTGTAGTTGACCAGCGTTTCTCCAGTGTGGCCTCGGACTCAAAGAGATTATCTAGCCGACTGTCCAGGTAGAGACAGACCTTTGCAAGAGAGGAAAAAACTGGTTTTAGATTGTTATGCAACCCTTGCTTTTCCATCCATCATGGATTCATGCACACATCTGGCAGCCCATTCTAAACTAGCATCGAATCCATCCTTGTGACCTCTCATCACCTGTATCAACAAAGAGTTGAGTAGCGGCGAACCAGTTGGTGGATTCGCTAGCAGCGTTGGCTGCTGTAGCGCAGGATGTCGCGTTGCGCGAAGCAGAAGAGCAGCTTGAAGTAGATCCATTGCGGCGCGAAGACCTGCATCCTGCAGTGGCACCGCGGCTGTCGACCCCATTGCCGCGGTTGCCACCGACACCGCGGCCTGCAGGTTCGCGGTCAAGAGAATGGGCGCCGAGTGATGCTGCTGTGGGGCTACTGTCGCTGCTTCGTCCGTCCTCTCCTCTGCCTCCGTAGTCGGTGCTGTCGGAGGGATCGCACCAAACTCCGTCCCAGGCAGCATCGTGGCCTCCAGCACAGCGGTGCATCGAGCCAGTCCCGTGGTGAGCCAAATGTAGATTGGTGCCTCAAAGCCCTCTTCAATGCGTGGCAGGTTCTGGTAAACTAGCACAGAATATGCTACTTATTTGATGTAATCAGTAGACAAACATTTTCCGCAGCTTTTGGCGGGCTAGAGAGAACATATGCTACTTACAAAATCAGCGATCTGGAATATTGGTCGAGTTTGGTGACGTTTAAACACTATTAGTATGCTGATACTTTGACTACAAATTCATAAAGCATATCTCGAGTCAAATTAGGCTCTAGCTAACCTAGTAGTCACATGCTCCTTATTTGTATCATCAGCGGTTTATAACACAAAATTTCTTCGGAAAAGTTCACTTAGCTAATCGGCTTTACGGGAAGACGTACCGGCTTGCAGGCAACCAACGAGCCAGAGAAACTGCTCCCTAGTGGTAAAGAGATCGCTACAAAGGACCGCAGATTTGACCACTGCAGTGAGAACTGATAGAGACGGTACCAGCTGATCTGAGGGAGCCACAATCTCTGGAACTGTCAACAGCGACTCATCGACGCTTTCCACCTCTGTTGAGGACTCTGTAAACGCTTTATCCCCGCTGGATAGAACCCCAGTGAGAAGGATGGACTCGCCGAAAGCCAGTGGAGGATGAGGAGTAGAATCAAGAGAAGACGAAGATCGAACACCACGTTTAAAGAATTGGACGAACTTTTTTCGCTGTGAAGATGTTGAAGCGGTGCTGCCTGCTTCACCCAAACCGCGAGCTCGGTTGAGAAGACGCTCTTCAAGGGGACGAAGCCATGCGTGGTGAACCAAACGCAGAGACTGGAGGCAGGAGAAGATAGTGTCTGCTTCGAAGCCCACTGGTTCTGGAAGAAACAAGAGTAATTAAGAAAGGGCTAGGATTACTTTTAGCTAAACCGCAGTCTGCTGACTAACCACTAAGTGAATGAAGCATCCACTTCACCAAGCACTCGATCGGAACTTGGTTAGCAGCCGAGTCCAAGTCTGCTGGATGCTCAAGATCCAAGTTGGTGGAGAGCCAGGACAGGCATTCCTCCGATTTGCCAGCATCGGAACCAATCACTGCGTTGGTCGAGGGAATGTCATAGAACCATGTCCTTGCTTCCTGATCCAGGCGGCTCAACACGTAACCAATTCTCCTGCCGAGTCTACACGAAGCAGCAGAATCGCGATAAGATTGTGTGTTCAACTAAGACGCAATGATAAGACCCACCGAGTGTGCATGAATTGTGGAGGCAGGGAAAGACGCGGTTGATGCAGTGGTGAGCTGTTCAACGGATCTCCGGGTCGTGGACGATGCGCGGCGTTGAGAAGAAGACGAGTTAGAGCATTAAGACCCAGAACGCGACAGTGATTTATTTCTACCAGTTCCTGAACGTGGAAGGGTGGAGGAATAGAATACAAGATTGGATTAGCTAATCTACAAAAGGAGTTCAAATTAAAATGGGGCTTTTGATTTTACAGGAGGTTACAGCGATTTCGGCAGTTCGAGGAAATTCCCACACCTAATATTGAAACCTTCCCTACCTCCTTGCTGTTCACAAATGGATTCTCCTCCATCTCCACATCCAACGATGAAGATGGAGACGGTGGCGGCGGTGGTGGTGGAGTGCAAACTGCCAGTAGAGCATTCCAGGTGGACTCAAACATGGAGCGATTGAGCCAGCCTAGTGAAAGGAACCACGAGGAGGCCTCGGCCAGAGCGTCGCGATCCATCTCAATCACACGGTCGGGGTTCCATTGGTGACCATTCGTGTCGCTATCACAACCATCCCCACCACCAGTATCGTTGGTGGCGGTGTCTCCCATGGCGAGATGGGTGAAGGCGCTAGGCTGACGGAGCCGCAACATCACCTCGGGACGGCGACAGAGAGCTGAGAGGATAACAGAGCAGGAGAGAGGACGCTTCGCACATTATTCATCCGTCCACCTAGCTCCATGTTTATCCATCTTTGATTTATGATTTATTCATCCATGATCCCCTTTTTTTGTTCCTCAACTCACCAATCAGGAAAGCAGAAAACTGTCCAGCAATGTCTGTACTGTCCATTCCTAGGGCGTGGGCGTAACGAAGACCAGCAGGCGAGAGTCGACACAAGCCCATGACGCTGGCAAGCGCCACCCTGCTTTTGTCACCTGCACCGACACCACCAACAACACCGCCAGTGGTACCCGCGTTCGCGGCAAAGCTATTCAGCACCTCAGTAAAACGCGTCAAGGTGTGGGCGGAGGTTGTGAAACGGAAGATACCTGGTTGTCGAGGCACCAGGAGACAACGGAGACGTGAGATAAGGTGATCTAGACGTGTGTCGTCATCGTTGACTTCAACGGAGGGATGCGAGTCCATGAGGGTGGCAGGACGCGAAAGAGAGGCTATAGGAAGGTGGATATAAGACCTATTATCTTGCTGATTTTCTGTCTACTTCCATGTATACAGTTTGTGTTCTTTGAACTGCGTTCTTTCTGCCTCTGGGAGGCTCAAAAAGTCCTGGTCCAACCTGACTACGAGTCATGACAACCACATCCAACTTACCTGAAACATCCAGAGCTTCCGCAAATTGGACAAAGGTCTCCAGTGGGATTTTCCCCGAATCCAGATCTTTCGAATCACTTGAGGCTGACAGCACGACTGATAATCGAAGTGTCAAAAGTGGAAGGCTCAGAAGACAAGGCCACGGGAACTTGATTTCACTCGTCAAATGGATGAAATTCTACGAGAGGGACGCAACTTCAATTATAGTATTTTGGAAGAAAAGTGGTGGAGAGGTAGGAGGGGTGGAGTAGACTAACCTGCATTAAATAACAAAGGAAGGCAGAAATTGAGTTGATTTCGTCCTTCGAACAGGCAGAAGGCAGCGGGAGGCGGGTGGAGAGGAGAAGAAAATCAGTTGTAGCTGCTGCAAGTCCTGCCAGTTGACGCTGTGACAGGTCCAGAGAACTCTCTAGGGACGTTAGTACCAAGTGCATTTGGGACGACAGAAGAGATAACGAAGGCTGCTACAAATTACCTACCTTTTCCATCGGCTCTCTGGGAGAAGGTGGAGAGTCTCTTGAAGAGAAGTTCCTTCCTGAAAAAGGGATAATAAAGGTATTCAAAATTCGTCACTATACTTGTGGTTGCTTTAACCTCCTCGTTCCAGTCTCAGAGGAAGATTGGCCCCAAAATCCTACGTGGTTTACTATGATATGCAGCATCTAGCTATCATAAACTGATAAAGAACACGAGTCACATATATGTGACGCCCTGCTTAGCGCAGGCATTCGTGATGGATGACAGCGCGAATCAAAGACAGGGATGCAAACTGAAGGATGCGCCTTTGGGAGCCATTCTTGGTACTTTCTGATCAAGACACTATTCTTCATCATCCATATTTGTAGAGCTCCGATTCATGGAACTGGATTTCTACAAACTTGGAGAGAGACCAATTTACCATTAAAGGACCGGATCCTGGTACTTCTTGATCGTGGTGCTACTCTACATCTCCCACATCTCCAAAGCAAGAAACAATTAGTCGTCTAGGCAGTCAATGGACCAAACATTGCCTACCCCAGCTGCCACAATGGATCGGTCCCAAAGGTCCCCACATCGTCGTTATTGAATCGCTTCATCGTTTCCACAAAACCCAGTCGAACGATGTGCTGAAGAAGTCTTGGAGGCACCGCTTCAGGAAGATTGGCGCCTCCCTTGGAGCGCCTCAGTTGAAGGAGTTTAGCTGCCAACAGGCCAGCATCTTTCGTGGAGACACGCAAGGATTTCTGCAGGGCAGCTTCGATTAGACTCTCCACGAAGTGACCCTCCCGGTTGGAGGCTGTCGCCTCGCCCTCAACAGCTTGCGAAAAACGATGACGCAAGTCGGTTAGAGCATCAGGAAGTTCACGAGTGAAGAAGGTAGTGGTAGGGAGATCGAGGGAGGCAAGGAATGTGGCTAGGGTCTCTGGAATTTCGTCCATCTACGAAGAACATTCGAGTCAAATTGGTGCCTTAAGCCGATTCAGCCTACACGGCATCAATCAAGATGACATTCTTCAAAGCTTAGTTGTCAATTTTACAAGCATAAACATTCCTACCCCCAACCGAAGGATCCACAAAAAAATCGTCTCCCTCACAAACCTTGGATTTGTCGATTTCACGAAGGCAAGTGGCTAGAAGAAGTTCCATCTCCCTTCGAATGGCAGGCAATTTAAAAATAAGGCATTGAGAAGTTGGAGAAAACCACTTCTCGATTGGGAGAAGCAGTGACAACAGGACAGATTTTCTGTCACTTTTATGAGCAATCAAACCTGAGAGCTCTTGCGTCAACTTTTTTAAGTCTTCAAGCAGTGCGACAGCTTCGATAGGGGTCTATAAAGAGTAAAAATATATTCCCAGGTTGTAGAAACGGAGAATCGAGTAGCCACAAGCACTGCACCCTCATTCACTAGGAAATTTCCATCGTTCTTGAATATTATGATTACCAAAGGGTGATGAGGTTGACCTATCTCTGAAAGTTCTTCCATCGCCGAAAGAGAGTAGACACCGAGTTCAGTATCGACACCTCAAAACCTTTGCTCTGAATATGCTAGCCAATCAATTTTACATAGACAAAAAATGAGTTTCCCAATTTCCTTCCATGCCTACCTTAGCGTCGTTAACTCCAGTGATAAGAGTAGAAAGGACCTCCTTAAGGAGCACCAAGCGTTTCTCAACGCCTTTGACGGAAGCAATCATTCCATGCACCTCGGAGGTCTTCAAAAGGCTCAACAGATCAGCAGCAGGCGAAAAGTTGAGGTCACCCGTTGGCTCGTCTTGCTTGCTTCGAAAGTTAAGCAAGAACACAGTCCTACGGAAGCATACGCTATTGCGATGGTATGGTGCGGTGTGGAGATAGTTTCTGCTAAGGTTGCGGAATAACTCGATACGAATTTGATGCCAGAGGATTAGAGGAAGGGGTTTTAGACGACCGTAGATCATCAGCAACTCGTCCAGACGTTCCACCTTGAAGAAGGGGAAGCAAGACGGTAATTGGTTAAGGTTACGAGTAAGGAAGGGGGTAAAAGATGTTTTACCTTTTCTTGTGGTATTTTACTCGATGAGAGAGCGTCTAAAATGGGGTCCCAAAAAGATTATTATTTCGTCTTTCGTGAAGAAATAGAATGGAGTGATGAAAACTTACGCAGGCGACCAAAGGTTAGGATTTCCAGTTCAAGAGCCAGTAACAGTCGTCCAATGAAGGCAAGGTAGGATTCTCCCGTTGATGGTGATGAGGAATTCGAGATGACCTCGTCCACGAAATCCGGTAGATAAGCAAGAAGAGCCTCGCAAGTAGTCTCCAAAAGATCCAGTAAATGCCTTAAAAAACGAAAAATTTTAAACGACTGCTAAAAAATTTGGACAGAAAGATTGTGAAGGGGTCAAAACGTAATGCAACTTGTCAACAAGACGTTTTTACCTCCTACCGATATCCATTAGCAGTACACGGCCTTCGGGTAAATAAAATTCCATTTAGAGATTCAATAGTTGTCCACTCACCCAAATAGAACAGTCCGTGGATCTGCCTCACCACAGGCAACAAACTCACGAAGGGCGGGCAGAAGTGTCGAGGGTTGTTTTATGGCGAGGAGGAGGAGAAAACGAAGACACACGAACTTGCACGCTATCCAACGATGGAATTGCTCCAACGACTACAAAAAATGGCGAGTCAGGATTAATAGACAAAAAAAACAAACTGGACGTCTCTGTCATTCTCACCTCTTTGAAGAGGAAGCCTTGAGCAGGTCGATGAAAGAGGATGGGGATGAGTTGGCGAAGGAGGAAGTCATGGATGACTGCAGTGGGCCATGGTGGTAAGGCTAGACGTTTAATAAGGCGAAGGCAGGCTTCTACGTCTCCACAGGTGTCTATGGTAAGACGACAGTCGGCCAGGGCCGATAGAAAGTGTCGACAGATCTGTAATGAATGTGAAGGAGGGGAGAGGATCAAGTTCACCCACTCATAAGTACCTTGACAAATTCAGCAGACATTAGACTTACCTCAGTTGCAGTTTTGTTTGCCGTTGAATCACTTCCAGCATCAAACGGCACCTTCAAAACAGCATCCGTCAAGGAGGCATCCTCCAAAATTACACACAGAAAGTCAAAAATCCTTGAATGCCCGATAAATTTGGGCATCAGAAACCCCAATAGATGCTCTCGGTGTGCGTTCCAGTCGCTAATATGCAACATAAGTCGATTGAACAATCTGCACTTACCGCAGATCCTTAAATAGTTGATCTTTCAAGTCAATAAGACGTTGCTGTTGTGAATTTTGCCACTTGACACGAAGAGCGGAGCGATGTTGGACGCCCCGAACCACATAGACATCGATTATCAGCGGAGCAAGAGCAGGAACAACAAAGGAATCCACATCCACGCCTCCAGCCGCAAGCACCCCCGCTAAGTGTACTACCTTCAAGAAGCAAAAAAAGTAATCTACAAATTGTTCTGCATGAGATGTGGCTTCTTTAGGCAATTTAACTCACCTCAGACAGTGAAAGCACAGTTTTTGCATCAGAAGTGGTGCCAAGACTGATTTTTTTCTCATGAGTGAGAGCAACGAAGAACTGGAACATGTTGGACACCAACTGAGTGACTTCTTTGGACGACGTTTTGTGGTTGTAGGAGGCTGTGGCATTGTCGTGTTGCATTGACTCGCATTGAGCCATCACGGTTTTGAGGAAGCGCTAAATGCGAATACGCGACAAATTAAAAAATAATTTTTACTTAATAAAATTTAAGTAGAATAAAAAAGTTGGTTTACGAGGCTAGGTCACTTCCAGGGAGGTTTTCACACCGCAAGAGAAAGATGCCAACGATGGCAAATTAAAGGTTGAACAGGAAGAGGAAGTTAGGATAAGAGTTAGACGCCTTCAACCAAATAAGCATGCTACTTAATTCGGTACTTAGGTACAGCTTACGAATTCCTCATCCAACTGGGAATAGTTGACTCCAAGTTCGATTAGGACCGTCAAAACGTGAAGAATTTTCGCTTGAACCGCCGCGTCGATGCGAAGGTGATATTCATGCAGACATTGAAGCACCAGTGGTTCAAACAATCGGATGTAGTAGGCTAGATTGGGCTAAAAAGTGTAACTCGACAAGAAATGATCACACCTGTTGAATATTAGAGGGTAGAGAGGAGGGACGAAGCATAGCTGGCTGATTAAATTGACGCGCGGCGTACAACCAGTCCAAAAATGATCGGCCAATAGTATTGAAGGAGCAGAACTTTTCCGCGATTTCGAAGTGTGCCTCACAGAGGTGTCGGATTTGGACGTCCAGGCCATCAGCGCCTTGTTCGGTGGCAAATGAAATTAGGGTGGGGTGGAATAGATGAAACAAGAAACACAGGAATAGCATTCCTACCAGTCATTGTCGATGTCTTAGGGTCCAAAACGGAGCGGAATTTGTCTGCTAATTCAGGATTCCAGACGCTCGTCAGGTTAGTACCGAATAAAGCTCTCAAAAGCTGAAAGAATGCAACGGTAAAAAAGGACATTCCGCTGCTTATTGATCATGCCCGAAATTCCGCGCAAACAAGGGTGCCAAACACGAACTTAGGTAATACTTGCTCCTATCCAAGGGAGGCTCCAAGTACAGCACAGTACAGCAACGGCAAACTCAAACAATGTAGTGGTCCTAGCCACGGGGATTCTATCTCCAGCCTACAGCACAGCAGTCGTCCATACAGATATTCAACTGAACGCTTTTCCTACACACAATCTGCAGCAAAGTTGCCCACGAGACAAATCTCTCCATGAAGAGGATCAGCTAAATACTAAAGCAGATTTGCGAAGCTAGGTATCCTGGGATTGTCCAGCCGCATTCATGAACCCATCTATGACAGCACCTCAGCCAAATCTCAACTCTATCCCATCATCACTACTTTTTAATCATAAATGGGTAGACTCCAAGTGCGTACATTGACGGCAGCATCGAGGACGAGGGTTGGGTTCCACACAAAGGCAGCTTCAAGGTAGCAAAGGACCTCTTCAACCCAGGCCACCACTTCGGCAAAGCGTAGTACCTCCATCAATCGTGAAAATGCGAGCAAAGTGGCTGCCAACAGATTCATCGTAAGGTCCTCCGTCGACGGCTCCGAGAAAGACGACTATGGATGGAAAGTAGAGAAAAAAGAGTACAGATGAGTGTACAATAAGCTAGATTGAGTTTCTTTTTTCATTTTCTCGTGGTCGCGGATGTACCCAATTAGGTGTCTCGGCTCAAATTCACTCATCGACAACCGGAAGAGGAGGGAAATGAGTTTATAATTTAAACAAACCCACGCCTAGACATGACAACCCCATTCCTTTCCTTCTGAAGCAAAAATTTTTGCGGCTACCACCATCTTAGGAGGCAGTCGACGTGTTGGATAGCCCCGGTCGCATGGGATGCTTAGACAAGATCACTTCCAAACTCTGGTAATTAACCAAAATATTAATGCTACTCAAAAAATAAGTAGAAGGACTATGACCTCTCAGCACGACATCTGTGAAAGTACTTTTTTGCATTCGCCGCTGAAAAAGGAATGAAATGACGCAAAAATCTTTATTTTTTACTGAAGTCAACGCTTAAACCCAGTTCCAATACCATTACCACGGACATTCACGCTCGCTTAAGACAAAACGGGCCAGGAATTGAGTTTTCTTTTTCGCCAATAAAAAAAACAATTTAGCATTTTTGGTCGGTCTGTTCCAAAAATCGAGCATATCGACAGAGACAGCGTTCTGGGTGTCGCTGACAGTCGTGATAGTGCACGTATAACTGTGTCGAATTGTTTCTATAGAAAATGCGGGTCATATTCATGAGGAGGAGATTCATTGCCGACTTATAGGTGTAAGAGTCATACCTCTCCAGGTCATCGCATGCACACTCCTCTTGACCGCACTCGTTGACATTCCAAAAGTCATCCAGTCGAAGGAGGAGATTACTCACATCCGTCGCGAATAACACAACCACTGGGTGCGCAATGAGAGGGAAATTGTGGACACTATCAAAAACAAGAAATTCATCACAAATCTCCTGAGTGGGGAGGAACGGTGTGACAGCGGCAAGGAATTGCCGCACGATTCGGATGACATTCAAGAGGAGGAAACAAGCAACATCGTTCTGCATGCCTCCACAATTTAACGTCTGACGCAGTGTGTAGGCAATCGCATTAGTCCACAATAACGAATTGGCCTTCTTCAACGGCCAATCGAGATTGTACCGGCGGCGTTTCGGGTCTCCGGGAAAGATGAAAGGTCCGCCAGACGCGAGAGTAAAAAAGTTGATTTGTTTAGTGACTAGTAGATGTTTTCGTGAGATAAGCAGTGGTTTGAAATAAAAACGAAGCCATATCTCCTTCATGACCTCGTAGACAATGACCTGAGACTTATAGTACAGGCGTTGATAGCACTCCTCGTAGTCTCGACACTCCGTCAGCAGCCATTGAACTAGGCAACAAACCTCACATTCCGGATTCTCGGGTGTTGGTTGTCGCCGTTGGTCAGCAGACATTTTGCTTAAGAAAGTGGTAAAGCAAGAGGGCGGTTGATTTTCGCACTGAAGACGAAAAATCAACATAGGTCCAGCTACGAAAAGGGGGATTTGGATTTGTGGATCGCCTACTGCGTTAAGGGTCACCTCAAATCCCATCATAGCCGTGTTTGCAGGCAAGTCCTCCAAATCAATTAGTATCTTTGAATCACGACAGGAATCGTACTCCCGATGCACAAGGTCAGTGGCATGAATCGGATTTACTCCTTCTTCTTCTTCCTCTTCCTCCTCCTCCTCTTCCTCTTCTTCTGTCGTTGAACTAAGGTCCTCAACCTCCACCATGCCCCAGTAGTTGAAAGTGACTCCTTGTAGACGAGTCACGTGAAACTAAGTCACGAGCTCTCAATTTCCCGATTTTGGCTCCGGAATCGTGCAGAGCAGTGGTGGATGGTGCCGGGACCACAGCTATGACCCCTACACCAACGCGCCTGACACAATTATGATCAAAATTACCGCCTAACCTAACACCCTAGGACTTATCCCCCACATCGGCAAGTGAAATACTAAAATCAACGCCCCACATATTTCGTAAATTTATTAGTTTTGGTTGAATTTAGCATTCACAGTCTTGATGGCATGCCATAGTTCAAGACATCTTTCCTGCTTCTTTTTTTTCGTTTCGCTTCAAATGTGGTGGAGTTAGCAGTCCTCCTTTTCAAGGGCTTGGGCGAACCGACATGCGCAAGTGTTGGGCGTATCGTGATTCTCAAGGGTATGAACAATTGTGCAATTAAGGTCCACGTTGTTGTAGAATATATCAGTAACATTCATCATTAAAATATTCTCCATAATGCGTCGCATATTGTGTTGATAGGAGTAGCCTTCCTCCTTCCGATAGCCCGGCACTGGTGGAGTTTCACACACAAACCCATCCGGGTTGTATTCGAGGAGGGCCAAGAAGAGCGATCTTGCCAACTTCATGATTGGTTGTAGTGCTGCTCTCTGATGGCATCGGACAGCCTCAAGCATGTAGTATTGTGGAAACCCTGAATCACACTGCGGAGGAAACGCAACCTCGCTGTATCGACGCAAAATTCGGATAATATTAACGAGGATGAAGCGCGCCACGTGGCTGTGTATGCCTCGATCACCGATGTCCAAGTACATGAGGTACATAAATCCATTTGTCCACTCCAATGAACCCAGCAACTGTGTAGTCCAATCAGCGCATTTCATGGTAGAATTGGAGCCGATGGGGCAGAGCAAGAAGTTATGGAATGGCAGACCGATGTAGTTGAACCGCTTTGCATGTTCAATATGTCGAGGTGAAATGGACAGTGGCTTGGGTTGCAGGCGAACAACAATCTCTCGCATCACTTCAAACACGACTATCTGGTCATGGTTGTACAAGCTATCCATACACTCCTGAAAACTGCAACATTGCGTCAGCAGCCACCGCACTAGGCAGCAAACCAAACACTGAGGATTCTCTGGTGTTGGATCGTATATTGCAGTATAGTCGAGACAATCGAAGAAACTGCCAGAGTTGCAATCTTGACTCCTTTCAACGAGAGTACGCAATACCATCAACGGACCTGCTATGAAGACGGGTATTTCTACACCCTGTTCCACACAGCATTTGTATTTGTCATCAAATGCCACCATGGGCGTCCCCGGGGACATGCAGTCCAAATTAATGTAGAGATGCTCATCACACTGAGGATCAAATTCGCGATGCGGAACACCGCAGGCGTGACGGGGAGAACAGGCAGAACTTTCGAAATTCATGATACCTACACACCTTCACGAGCATCCACCGTAGCCGAGATTGATCCTCTGTCACGTGAGTCCAAGTCACAGGATGCCAGGGGATCAATTATGATGACCCATCCACCACCTCTAGACAGCACAAGTCAAACATCAAAGAAGGTAAAGGAGTGTCCCTGTTGCACGTGGGTTACAAAAATCGCACTCAAAATTTCTAGTCACGCTTTCGCATCATTGCTTACAAGAAGTAGAAAAGAGTAGTGATTCAGACATTTCAAAGTAATGTCAGGCACCCTCTACTGTCTTAATTCTCGAGCTCTATGCAAAAAAGAAAAAAAAAACGTACCAGATAGCACAATTAAATTGATTGCATGTATTATTTCAACTAAATTGTGCACTCCATCGTGGAGTCATGACAATGGCGAGACACGAACTCGTCAGGCGCATTGCAAGTAGCCCCCTCTCCCGCTCAGGAGAGAGCTAATTTGTACTTTCAAGAAATCGTGCAAAGCGACAAAGACACGTATGTGGGGAGATCGTACAGTCATCACGGTGTCTGTAAAAGCTTTCCGCGTTGCTAGCATTAAAAAATAATTCAGCCAAGTTCATCATCAGCATATTCTCCACAATGCGTCGTACACTGCGACGATACCACTGGCTCTCCTCTTTACGAAAACCTCGAGGCGGTGGGGTATCGTAGGGGAGCCAATCTCCCTCCAGTGCCGTGAGCGTCAGAAAGACAGCTCTTCCCAGCTTCATGACTGCTTGCAGCACTACTAATGGGTTTGCTCGGATAGCATCTAAGACGTAAAACTCCGAGTTTGTACCTTCGGCCAATTGGGGCAATTCATTTTCAAGGTGTACACGCAAAAGCCGAATGAGGTTGGCAAAAATGAAACCCGATATATGACCCAGTGGACCAGCATTGTCAATGTCGTCGCGAATGAGAAACATGAAGCCGTTAGTCCACTCCAACGAAGAATATCGCACTTCCTCCCAGCCCGGTAAGATCTCCCCTAACATCGGAGTCATGGGAGAAACAAAAATATTAGAGGCCGGCAGCATGAAATAGTTGATCCTTAATGCGTGCTGAAGATGTCGCCCCGAAAAGACCAAGGGTTTTGGACGCAACCGACACCAAATCTCTCGCATAATCTCAAAAATTACAATCTGTTGCAGGCCAAACAACTCTTCTAAGCACTGACCATAATTCTCGCATTCCGTCAGGAGCCACCGCACCAACTCGCACACATCACACTGAGGCTCATAGGGTGTTGGGTCGTATATTAGCCTATAGTCGAGATCAAGCAAGAAGTTATCAGGGTGTTGAATTCCACGCTCGTCATTAATGCTACGCAGCACCTTCATAGGACCTGCTATAAAGAGGGGGATGCTAATACCTTCATCTGACAGCAAATCGTAGTCATTCCCAAATGTCATCATTGGTGTGTCTGGAGGCAAGTTCTCCAGGTCAATGTAGAGGTCTGTGTCGATTTGTGAATCAAACGGCCGATGAAGTAGTTCAGACTCATGTCGAGGGTTATATACTTGTGGCTCTAGCTCTAACACTTCTTGCATCGTTGGATGAATTAAGGTCCTAGAGAGACCAGACAAACGCACAACTACACATACACGGGTTGTCGCGAAAATCGACCCTGGGTGTGCGTCACGTGGGACTGCGAGGGGTGTTGAAGTCAAACCGGGACGTTTGATTTCACATGCATCGTGACACACCGTGAGTGAAGCAGTCTAGATTAGCTAAGATGGCAGACAGCAAAGACAGTGGCGTGGATGTCCACAAAACAATGCGCACTAATAAGTGGGATTTTGTTTGTTAACGGAGTCGTCAAGCCTGAACCCGCGGAGCGCCCCATGACTAATGCGATGCTGGGAAGTGTTGTCATTTTTACTCCCTATCATTATTATTACCTTGTACAAACTCAATAGCTATTCATTTAGGAGCCACTTCTACTTAAAAAAAATAAGTAGACTGCCAGCACCGTATGCGAGATAACAGACCAGAAGGGGACAAATGTCACTTGAATGGAAAATATGAACTGATTTCTTTTTTCAATAAGGACATGACAGCCCTTTAGAAGTAATGAAAACTAGTTAAACCGAATGTTAGGAATGCTTTAGCAGCAAGAAAAGAAAGCGCTAGCACATCCGCACGCCTGCGTATCGAGCATACCGACAAGGACACCGTTCCGGGTGCCTTTGACAATCACGATGGTGCACGTACAGCTGGTGGGGGGAGACATTTCTGCAGAACAGTTGGGGCATATTCATAACAAAAATATTTTCAACCACGCCTTGTGCTAGTGCATCACCAGTATATATGTCTCTGGGGTCCTCCCGTCCCCCCTCCCCACCACAACCCCCGCCCGCGTACCAATTATCATCCACATGCGTGAGATGGAGGCTGACCTCCTTCGCCAGCCGCATAATTGCAGTCCTCACCGTGATGGGTCGACGTCGAATGGCATCGAGGATGTAAAATTGATTGATACAATCATAATTGGCCGGAGGGTTTGATACCCGCATCACAAAATCCTGCAAAATTCGAGTGAGATTGGCGAAGATAAAGCATGCGACATCATTGAAGATGCCTCCACAATCTAGAGTTTGACGAACAGCACGGATGATGGCATTCATCCATGTCACCGAATAGGCCCTTCGAGTCGGCCAATCCAGGTTCCGCATGAGGCATTTCGAATCGCCTGGGAAGGAAAGGCTTCTAATTCTGGTGAGCCTCTTCAAATCAATGTTTCTTGAGATTGAAATAAGGCACTCTGAAATGAGAAGTGGCTTGGGTTCCAGACGACACCAAATCTCCTTCATTGCCCCGTAGATTATGGTCTGAGATTTGCTTTGCAAGTATTCATAACAGTCCCTGTAGTCCTCACAATCTCGCAACAGCCAATCGACCAAACGGCACACCTCGCATTGGGGATTCTCGGGCGTTGGTGGCTGAACCTCCTCCGCTTCCAAGTCATAAAAGAAGCTGTCACTGTCTTCATCGGAGGCTTGTTCACACTTTAAGCGCAAAACTAACATGGGACCGGCTATGTAGAGGGGAATAGCTATTCCTGGATAGCATATAGACCTGAAGTCATTGTCAAACGTCAGCATAGGCGTGTTTGGGGGTAAGTATTCCAGATCAATGAAGAGAACGTTATCACAAGCAGGATTAAAAGGTCGGTGCTCGAGATCGGTGTAGTGCAGTGAGCCCTGCATAGTTCGGTGGTTCTCGAGAGCTCGGGGCGGCAGAATTCGACCCTGGGTGTGTCACGTGGCACGAAGACACGAGCTTCAAAGTGGTCAACTGTGGCGCCAGCACCCATGAAGCTTCTTTCAACGACTTGGGGGTTTGACAGTCAAACGAGTACTCTTCTACTAAAAAAGCTCCTTCTAGCTCATCTTCTTTTGAATTTCATTTCTAGAGTCTCCCAGACCACTTTCCCAGGTCACCAGCCGGTTCCAATGAACCAAAATCCCGAATATCGTGAAAGGAAGACTTCTGCTTCCCAGGAATGAATCTGTAGGTCATAAAAACCCCCTCCGGTTCAAGCAATGCTTACAATCTCGCATGACACCAGACTTCGACGTCTGTGTTAAAGGCACCTACGATATTTATACTTAGATATCCCTCCGTACCCAGTCGCTAAACGAAACCTACATTGGGGACTGGAGGACATTAGAGTGAGAACAAGGCAGAAAGGAGAAAGGATTGTAGAGTATTGGTTCCATGTAACCATCAAGATCCCAAAACTATTAATTTTTGATTAAGAGAATTCCCTCAGTTTTAAAGCAGATGAAGAAGAATTCAAGAAACCACCCTACTTCCCCAATCCTCCCCGCCCCACATCCCCAAGACCTACCTTAAATGCTTCAAAAGACGCTCTGATGGTATTGTAGAGTTGCATGTACTCCAGGGAATCGGCAAAGTAGCCGTGAGTCTCCCGACTGCCAAGCACCAAGCGGTTCTCCTCTTCTAAGGAAGCAGAAAGTAACACGAAAATATAAATGTTCAAACAAATGGAAAATCAGCACCAAAAGCCGGTCAAATGGATCAAAGCACACTAGCCTCCAAGAGAATAGTGTCTGAACCAGATACAAAATGATTGGAAACTGAGGAGGACCTCATGAGCTATTTCTAGCCCCCTAGCTGACCTTCAGGCCTAAACTACTTAGACGCTGAAGATGAGTCAAATTGATTTGACTCGTTGTTGTTGAGACCGAATTCCAAGAATTTGAAAAGTGAAAGGAAACCTCTAATCTTCGAATTGAGGAAAGAAAAGGCTCAGTAAATGGCGCTGAAAGATATATATGGGGCCTGTTTTTCGGTGACACGAATGAATTTAAGCATTTTCAAGGGTTAAATGTCATAGGAAAGCCTATACCTAAATAGCCACATGCACTCGTTCCAAGGAAAATTTAAGTGCAAGAGAAATTGGAACCTCCCAAATTACCCCTAGATGCAAACTGACCTTCCGTTTCGGTAGTTTGAACAAACTGTAAGCCGAAAATGGACTTGGACTTAGTCTGACTGGTAGTTATCGTTGTAGTGACGATGGTGGAGGGACTGGCAGAGGCACCTCCAATCGATGCGCTGGCGATTGGGACCGAGGAGGTGGCCAGATTACCCCCAACGAAGTTGGAGATGATATTGGTGGAGGTGGTAGATGCCGTCGAACTCGGTTTCACTCCCTTGAAGACGTGCCAGAACATTGCCAATAGTCTGAAAAAGCATTCGAGGGACAATCGGCTTGCATCTGGGTCCCGACAAGGTTAAAATCCTTTCCATACAATCTGCACAAACCAAGAGGCTTTCGAGATCGTGTCACCCTCCAGCCTTTCTCCTGGCCTGAAGCCTCTTGAAAAACCGTCTGGAGAGGTATTATGAGGGTATGTACACAATACTCCAAGGAGTAACTCGTTATTGTCCATTGAAATTGAACAAATGGATTTTCAATGTTGTGGGATGATAATGGACCCCACTTACTGCCTACTCATAAACAAATTAAGTAGCGACGCTGCTTTAGCATGTCATTGAGAATCGAATACTCTGGGTTCATGAATAGAGCAAAGAAAAAGGAAAGGGGGACGAACTTGATGACGTGCTTGAGAAGAGCTGCAGATGCACGAGTGAAGGCGTGATCGTGATGCAGTTCCATTTTTCCACCTGCTGGAATACTTCCTTCCAATAGACTGCTAACGCCCCAACCTACAAATTCCAAAGGAAAATTTACGCAATGAGAGCTGCCGACGAAAGTGAAACTGCACGTAAAGAATCATCATCCTCAATGGCACTCAGTGTAGGTTAGTAGGTACAAAACATCCGATTTGGCATTAAAGATTTATGTAACGGGAAGACTGACCTCGAGGCAATGAACCACAAAGTAGGCGCTGAAAAACTACATCTATCCCTGTAAATGCCAACACTGCCATCCCCACATTGTTATTGAGAAAACAAGGGTCAATAACTCACGCAGGGCGCATCCTGAAGCTAGACAAAGCAGTCGAGCCTGCAAAGCCAGATCGGTTAAGGCAAGGGGTGAAATTGCGAGCTGGGAGATACAGTGCCACAGAAGGAGGGCCATCTTGGGACGTCGTTGGTAGTGTTGCAAGGCGAAACGGGCGGGAGAGACCCCCGTATTTTCATTGCCTTCATCCAAGGGTTGTGGGAAGGGGGATGGAGTGTACCAGAGGAGATGATTCGAGGTTATTGGTGGACGACCGAGCAGTTCGGCCAGACCGAAGATTAACGAATGCTAAGAAAGTGTTATAAGGTAATTAAGTGGGCTTTGCTGTAATGATTAGGAATATTCTCGAGGTCTAACCATCATGCTCCGATTCTCCGGACTATCACAGACAGGTGACAGTTCCAGAAAACTATCCACAAGCTCCCGAAACACCCGATGCAGCCCACGAATGTGTCGATGCCGCCACAAACGGTGCCTATGAGTTGTCGATGACTTTAGCTGTTGAGTAGAAGGGGATGGCGGAGCCGAAAACCTCAAATACACAGGGAGGTCCTTGGTCACGCAACGCAAATCGTCTGTGAAACCACTAACGATGGGGGTGTAATTGCCTTGAGCAACCGGAAGATCACACGCGACGGCGTTCTGACCTGCAGCAGGATGAGGCAGATTGGTATACCCCTCGGAAAATTGACGATATGACACGGAATCAAACCTGTGAGAGCCGAATGCTCGAAAAGATGGGCAGCAACGGTATCAACCGATTCCAAATCAACACCACTCATCTGTGTCCTTTGAAGATCAGCAGATGGAGTGCGTTTAGCGAGAGCTAGGAGGGAATGGAATGCCTCCCGACCGAGGGAACGATCAGCATCAGCGAACAATCGGAGGCATTCGTTCCAAGCGACAACCGACAACGGCGTGGCCGCCACAAGACGCGTGGAAGTTCCGTTTCTATGACGGCCGAACTGAAAATGAAGTGTGAAAAGTGGAGTTTGGGAAGTACCGTCTTGCTTGCCAACGACATGCACACCAACCGCCGGTACTCGTAAGAGAATACTTCTGACAGTTTGATAGACAGACAAGAGAAAGGCGCTGACGACACGAACCGAATTGCCACGCACGTACCCAAGCCCGTTCCAAATGTTCCAGCTGGTCCCAGTCGAGACCAGCGACCAGAAGTAGAGTTTCGCGTCGCACCAGGCGGTAAGGATGTCGAGCGCAATCCACCAGTCGGGCGGCTATACACTGCAACAAACGTACGGACGCCGACTCTGTTTCCATGTCAACAGTAGAAACGACGGCTGGCAAATGGAGAAGTGTGTTGGCGCAGGAACGAAGGGCCTTCAGAGCCATGCGGTAAGTGATGCCCGATTTCTGGGTGGAGAGGAGAAAAACGTCTTATTAAATTCTGTAGAACGAGAGGACACTGTTAGGAGTTGCTTAAAGAGCTACAGTGAAGATGAGGATAGGCAGAACAGATTCAAGTGAAAAAAATCCTTGATTTCTTTGGTTGGTTACTTAGCTAAAACGTCGCGGTAGAAAAGAACCTATTAGATCTCCAGGAGCGTTAACTACTCGCTTCTATGGACTGGAGAAATGCGCCCTAAGCAACTGGCTCTTAATTCATAAAAGTAGAGACGGTTACCTCAGAGGCAAGGAGATCGTCGAGACCACTGATGAGACGGTAAATTTGCAGATGCTGATGCGTATTCAGACTTGACGTCGGTTTGATCAAAGCGTATGTTGCAGTGGAATGCAGAATATTTCCTACGAGGAGACATGCATTGCCACGCACCTGAGGATCGCTGTGGTGCATCAAGTGAAGAGCCATTTCAACTAAAAGATGAGTTATAAGAAGGAAAATTGTGCATCCGATCAGCAAATCAACTTCACTTACTTCCAGTAACGGCTTTTTTCTCTTCGCCCTCCTCTTCTGAGAGTGGTTCAAAAAATAACTCTGGAGGAAGTGTAAGCGACAGTTTCGCCAAACACGCCACCGCCAGCGATTGCGCCGCGGCACGAGCCGTTAATTGAGCACCCGACAGGAGACCAAATCGGTGCGCAAAGAGACCCAAAAAACTGTGCAGTGAGGAGGTGGCAACGATCTCATTTTCATCCTCAAATTCTGGTCCATCAGGAGCATCTACTTGTGAAGCTAAAATAGCACTCCATCAAGTTTTCAGACAAGATGTGGTCATGTGAAGTTGAAACAAAACAACTCACATGGAAGATCGTTAAGAGACGCCTCTGTTTCCCGCTGAGCTACAAACAGAGGGAGGAATAAATGTCCGTTCATGTAAATCCAGCAGAACGAAAAACTTCAGGAGATGGAACACGTACCGGGTGTCGACGATGTAGGGGGAAGAAGGTTTCGCTTTACTAGGGACACTTTTTCTCCTTCACCTTCAACGATGGTGGAAGTAAGTGGTATTGCAGAATGAGAGGTCACTGAACTGCCATCGTCTGCGTCAGAGGCATCCACCGCTAAAATGCGGACCAAGAGGATCCACGAATGAGTAGAACTGCTGACGTATAATGATGATTGCTTTAACGGTCCACAGGTACAGCATTGCACCCTTTTCTAACTGTCCATCGAAAAAATTATGTTTGTACTTAAAAGTTTTCAATGAACAAGGGATCAAATAATTGCCCAGATGGGTCTTTTCCAAGTATTTTAGTTTCATTCCTTCCTCACTACTTACACGAGTCATAGTCATCCAGATGCAGCACCGCTGACGGCGAATGAGGCCATGTCGTACTACAAAAGGCCCCCAAGGCCTCCTGAAATCCCTCAGGAAGTTCCGTGGGGGGACGGCCCGCAGGTGTGGACGAGAGAATCTCCAAAAGACACTCCAGCGCCGCTGTGCAGACCATCGTAGACGACGATGCTGCTTGATGTTTACGGCATGCCAGCTGCAGGCAGAGGAGACGCACCACACTCCACCAAAAGAACTCCAGGCTTTCGCGAGACCAGTTTGCAAAATCTGCAATCCCCACGCCCAGGTCAATCAACGAAGCTGATAGGTAGGTGGAGGGTGAAGGTCGACCTTGAAAAAGGAGTCAACAAAGAACCATGGAAAGAACATCCAATCATTGGCACCGGTTGATTAAAAGACTTCCTGAGTGAGGTGATTTATTAAAAGAATTCTGTTTTAAACGGATTCCACCAGAGGGAGTGATCAACATACTTAACTCGCTACAAGATATCGCTCAGCACTCAGAAGAAAATTCAGATGAGTTTCTACAAGACAGTACTCATCGAGAGGTGCAAGGCTGGAGTGTATTTCCATTGTGGTATGCAAACATAACGCGCCCTTCGTTCCTGCCTCACAAGCGGTCAGAATACAACTGATTACCTAGTGAAGATAAAATCGGAATGGTGGACATGAAAAGCACCAAGAAGGATATTCAGAAGAGGGAAAAGGGGTGTGAAGCAGCGTGGTGTTCAAGTTGTACCTTTTAGGTTAACATGACGACGGTGTGGAGGCCTTACGCTAGTCTCCAAGGTATTCTGTACACGTTAATAATAAACCCGCTTCTAGGCGAGCAGGCCTTCAGAGAAAACCCAGAAATCTCACTGCTTAATGAAATGAGCTGCCAACAATCCTTCCTCATATTACTTAGTCAGCATTTAAGTAGGTGCGGCAATTCGTAAAAGGGTTGTGGACGAGGTTCAGAACAAGATCAGGGGAACGCCGTACTTATTTCTGCCTGAAAGTTGTGAAGAAATGCCTTTCATGGTTCCACCCACTAAGCATACCTTTGGATTTAGTGCGTTCATTCACTAACGCAGTTGTCGGAATCCGTGAATAGAGCGAGGCGAGATTGCGAAGAGTGCAGAGGCAGCCCTGAAGGCCCACTGCCGCCGTCGCCACCATACCTCCGGATCCTCGCGACAAAAAACGCTGTTTTAGCACTAGCACACGACCTGAAGTGGAGGAAAAAGAATATTGGTGAACGACTAGAAGTTTAATTAATTGTTGTCGCCTTCTTTCAACACAAAACAGGAGGGCTTAGAATCCAACAAGAACTGGCAAACTCCCGTTTTCTCAGTTACCATTCACAGTAACTCTAAATCAAGTTTCTAAAGTGCTACTGAAGAATCCTCAGCGTTCTAAAAAAACGGAAAAGTGAGCCACCAACGCTAAATTTGAAAGATCATGGATATATGGGCGTCGGTGGGAAGATGATTGAATGGATGGAGGGATGAGGAAATCTATGAATTTGGAATAATGGAAAGAGTAGCTCGACCTGGGACAGAGGGATAGACAAATAAATGATTAGGTGGATATATCATAGTGTATGTGTGACACAGAACAAATGAGTCCGTAATCGTTTGAAAGGAGGATGAATAAGTAGACGAGCATATGAGCAAGCCGGAAATGGATGAAGCAGATAGAAAGGGTGAATTAAAATATGGGTGCTGAAGGGGCAATTGGTACGTTGGAAGGAGCAGGAACAGTTAAGTCTACGGACTAGAATAAAATGGGTCCTGCTCTAATAGATGAATGAGCGCGTGTAGGGTTAGCTGGATGCATGGATTGTAGAAAGAACATAAAGAAAAGGACAGAAATGGAGAGGTCGGACAACTGCATGAATGGAAGGAGAAATGAATGTATAAAAGGTTAAGCGGATTAAAATGATTACAGAAGTGCTCAGTGGTATGGATAACGAATAGATGAGCCAAGGGATGCAAAAAAGATAAATAGATGGGGCTAAGATAGAAAAAGGAAGATCAGATGGATCGCCGGTTGGCTGAATGAAACAGAAATAAATGGAATAAGAGTTCAAGGTGCATGAGTGGGTGGACGAACCGCTAACTGGTGGATAGATGGAAGAAGAAGGCAGTAAATAAATGATTGAATCCGAGATCGACGGCTTAGAGATGAATGGATGTACAGATGAATTAATCCAAAGAGACAAAGGACTGGTCCGACAACTCACCAACGAGCTGCTGAATTAGTAGATAAGAGAGCTCATGCGGTAGTCGCGAGTGCACCACTGAAGACGCGAGGATCGTAGCTGCCGATCGTCTAATGTAATTCTTATCGCATTCCACCTTCTCCAACAAACCCCTTAGAAGGAGCTATCGCCACAATGCGGCATTTGAAGAAAAAGAAACAATAAGCCACTTCTATCGGCCTTCAAACGAAAAGTTTCAGCTCAATAAACCCTAACACTACATTCATTCAATCATTCTACACGACAATGAAACCTTAGAACAGGTTATGAATATAATGCTTTTTTCCCTTGGAAATAATCTTCTGAAGCAAAAGCATTAGCATTTAGTTTGAAAATAACACATTCGGCTTCAGTGTCACATACACGTGACGTGTTCTTAGTCAATCTGTGGACCGCGGTTGCACCCTATTTTGCCGTCAAAACGTCGGCAATAAATGTGGGCTATCGTTGGCCTGAGGATAATGATACCTTTTGGTCTATGAATAGCATAACTATAAACAAAGTACAATTTTTTTCTTGCACTTTCCCATGAGATTCTAGCAACGACTTTAACAGATAAGGAAAAAATTATAAAAGAATGTAGTTAAAAATGCGAATGTAGAAGGGTTCAAAAAAAGAAAATCTGAACAAACTCCACGATTTCCCTGAATGAAATTGTCCAAGTACTTACGAGCTCACACGCTAATAAGTTTAAGAATGATTGAAAAGCCATGTAACTGCCGAGCACCGGGAATTAAACTACTTATTTCTCCATTTCAGTAGCACATCATTCTTACCGTAATGAGTTCCTGTTGGCTGGTGTGAGGGAAGATAAAGATAGCGATGGGTTCAATAGTTTCAGCGAAGCAGTCCCACACCATTTCCTCCTCACGGTTTATCAGTCCGTTCAGAGCCGGTAGAATGTTGACAGCGTATATCCTAGAACAAAATCACCAATGGGACGTTGAGTTTTCCATAGCGGAGTTCAAGCTATTTATCTGAGATATAAGCAGACAGGAAGGAAAAATGATTACTTGAGGTGTCACATAAATCGGACTCGTCAATATGGTAAAAAAATCCACTGAAATATCAAGATCCACGGTCTCTACACAGGAGTTTGACAGGGCACAAGGTATTCTCCACTCCTTTTACAAATCTTAAAAGTACTTTTAATCCTTACTGAAAATGTCCCTCCGCACTTTTCTCAGGACCGAGGCGTTAATCTAACCACCCCGATAATGCAGGCGGTTGTCAAGCCCTAGAACTAGAAGATTCCAATTGAACTTCTCCTTTTCAGGGAGTCAATGCAACGCAAGATGAGAAAATCAAAAAAGCTTCCCTAATTTAGACAATCCTGACTACTACGGTAGAAACTGGGATGGGAAGGCATACCAACAAGCACGTCTACAATACCAAAGAGCTAACGTGTTCCTGTCTGGAGATTGGAGACTCGACATTACTGCTCCACTGACGGATGTAAAACCATTTTTTCGTAGAGGACCTATACTACTTATATCCTCAAAAGCATGCCCACATGAAATCCTACATGACTTGCAAGTTGGTAATAAGCCAACATTCTCGATTTTACGATTGCAAACCATTTCAAGACCGTCACTAGAATCCAATACTCCCCAGAGAATGCCTTAAAGAAGGACATTTCTTCTAGTTTCCTCATTACTTTACAAAAAATCAAAATGAAATTTGCATCAAAAGGTCACTCCTCAAACGGTAAGTCACTTTGGTGATACTTATCAATTCAAATTTAAAAAAACCAATTCCAGAGCAACATGTGTTGGGGCTTTGTTGACGCATGTTTTAATCCGGTGGTACTGTGCCCGGGTAACATTACACACAATCTTCACGTCGGATTCTCGGATGAATTATTCCAACAGGGCAGGAGACGACCCGACGGAGAGTTAAGAGATCCTATCAATTCGTCCCATAACCTTCGTGCCAGTCTCGCCAGTGCAGAGGTGGTGCGGGCGACGCTCAAAACAGGTGGAGGGAGGTGAATGGTGTTGTGTGGACCTTTTCAGCGCCCTGCGAGTCGGGCTCCATGACGGTGATTTGAGGTTCCGCTAACAATCCCTCCAGCTCTACCCGGCGCGGGTAATGAAGCCCGACAACACCAGTGCTGCTAGCGCCGGTTCCAATTATCAATTAAAATAGCTGGCAACAGTGATAGCGGATGCATGAACGACCCCGAATGATAAAGTGTCTTGTGAGCAATGCGTGGAATTGGAGGACAACGCGACCTTTAACCGGAGTAGACCATGCAAATGGTGTGAGAATTTAGAAGATGATCAGCCTTACGTCTTGACATTATTGACGAGCCCAATCGCGGCGGTTCTCGGTCCTGAGTTTCAGCCCCCCAAGTATTGTGAAAGCTCATTTAGAACAAGGACCGCCTGATCAAGGGCTAATCCCTCACTAAATTGCACAAGAAATGTCACACTGATGGTTCACGAAGATGTGAAAATCACACAAGCTAGCACACGTTGGATGTGGTGACAAAGCCGTACCACCGGAACTGTGGAAAAACTACTTTGATCATTTATACTACCCTTTTACAGACTGAAAGGTCCCGATTTGGCCTGAAGACCTCCCATACATTCCATGCGTTATCAATACCCTTTACATGGCGTCAACCGTCGTTAATCTCCTCCATGGTAGATTCTCGGCAGACCTATGAGCTCGATTCTCAATATTTGAGGATGAAGGAATGGAAAGGAAGCTAAAGTCTAGGTCAACTTCCGATAGTAGAATCCGAATTCCAACATGTGCGAGGGTTGATGGAACATCAAAAAAGACGAAGACCACTCCAATTTGTCAAAGTTATATCGCAGTAGAGCATAACGAATAAACTAGTCAAATTCACTCAAATAAAAAAAATAAGAAGTGGAACTAACCTCCGTTTCTTGGGATTAATCCGACCGAGGCAGGCTGAAAACTTGCGTAGAGCTGAGGACAGGGAGCGGGCGTGGAGGCTGCGTTTAATTTCCAAAAAGACCTCACAAATTACGCATTGAATCAGATGAATATTTGCAAACTAAAAAATGGAATAAAAAAGAGGAAGGCGGCCTAACTTAACACTGTCTGATAGCTTACTATCAGTAAAAAAAGAGAGGTGACATGTCCGGCCTTATTAGTACTGGAAGTTGTTCAAGTCAAATCGGGATTTTGGAGGGAAAATAGCAAACTTCAAGGAGTGAAAGCAGTTTCTTTCCTACCACAGTCACATATTATATTGTGCTTATTTATTTTCAATTGAAAAAGCTGTCTTCAGTGAAGCCTTATGACATATTTCTCACAGATTACCCAGAACAAGGTGTTCTAAGCGCTTAACTAGGGGAACTGCGGGCTGGGAACGGACCCAACACGCCAGAGGTCGTCACAAAGAGGCGCAGTTACAGCCCGCTTTGAAATATCTTACTGCTGAGGCGTATTGAGCTTGGGCTTCTACCCCCTTACCCATCACAACATACACTGTTACCTGGCATGTCAACTTGACTGATAACGTTTGGACTAGACTGGCGGACGGACCACATGCGTCAGACCACACTCCATCCCCTTTAGCAACTCGAAGTTTGAGGATGGAGATAATCTCTGTGCTTGATACTATTTTGACATCGCATCATCGTTGCCGCAGTTCAATTACTCTTCTATTATGTAACATTTTTACTACTGTCGTCGGAGTGACACTAACAAGATCGAATATTCTGAGGAAGGAACGACTAGGCCGGATCACTCCCAACCGCATCAGGCAGAAACTTACGTGGATGATTACCATGAGCGATGACGAAACTATTTAAACCTCCATCAACTGCCAAGAGAAAACCCAGAAAGCCACTAAGCAAATGGCACCCACCCACACGTACTCGCTACCCGCCTTTTCCTTACTTCTCTCCGCAAGAGTTTTAAAAATACACCAAGTTTAAATGGCCTTTTAGCTGACACAGGGTGAGGGACGAGTTTTCTGTGCGATTGGTTATTCCCAAATGAATCAAACCATCTCTGTAAGACGGCACAGTTTGTTCACTACCATAGAAAAGCTCAGTTTTCGTATGCATCCCGAGGCGATTGTTTAATGAGTCCATGTGCAACAATTTAATACAAAATCATTGTTGCAGGAGAGCACGGAACACACAAGCAAAGGCTGTCGCATTCAAGCACAGAAAATTGGAGAAGCAGGATATTTCCTGCAGAATTTAAAACAAAGCTTACGTAATCTAAAACTTGTGGGTCCCACCAACACATTAGCAAACATCCATAAGAACAGGAGATTAGCAATTAGCTGTTCTTCATTTCCTTCAACTTATAAGAGCGTATGACTCTTGGATCGGCTGATACTGACTTGTAATAAGAGGTGTCATTGTATTCCAACCTTACTTAGGCGGATTTATCACCTCACCCCAAATGACTGTGCTGTCGTGTTTAGAGGCGTATGGTGAACTGAAGAGGCAAATATTCACTAGGAATTGTTCGCTCACTAAAGGCTAGGCAGTTATACACAAGATCTACCTACACGACGCAACTCAAAGATGTACAGTGAAAAAATTCTTTCGAAATAAACAGAACTGGCCCTATTATTATTCCAGCAAAACAACACAACACATCACCTCGTACCCAAGAGAAAATTAACGCTTCAGTTCCGATGGCTGCAACGTGCTGCCTCACTTTGTCCCCATTCCTTTTCTATTTCTGTAAGCGATTACCACCTTGTCCTGGCATTACACAATCATATGAGAACGTCTAAAGCACAATACGTGAATAAGAAATAAGAGCACGACAGAAACAAGGTAGACGATGACATCATTTCAGCTGCCAAGATCTCAGAGTAGAATCCGCCACCGTAGGTCAAATGCTTCATTGTCCAATCATGGCACCAACACACTACCGAAATGATCGATTTAACAAATGCCCATAAATTAAATGATGTAACTATCTCTGGACTAGAAACACCCAAATCATATATTCGTAACGCCGTACTCAGGGAAATCGCAACGTCACATATGCAACACTAGTAGTGAACGTGTTAATCTTAAAGCAAACTATGTTAGTAAGACCAGAAATCCGCTTTTAGCTAAGGAGGTAGAAAGGAATCGAACTCTTCTGTTCAGAAGGAGGCCCCAAACTTAAAATGAATGAACAGCCTTACTTGTCCCTACTCCCACTTAGACCTAGGGGCGAATGGAACCAATACAAGTAAAGAGACTGCTTTTTAATCAGAGAGAAGTGGAGAATAAAACCAAAGGGTGCTAAAATAACTCGCCACAATGAGAAGACATTCCAAGAACTTTATTAGAGGGGCGCCAACCAAGAAAAGATACCAAAGAGGGGCAAATTACCTTAACAATCTGGTTGATGCCCTCGTCAGCCGCCATTCGGACGTCAGGGTCAGGATGACTAACCAGTTCGAAAAGGGTTCCAGTCACGAAACTCAGGTAATTTACCGCGTTGGATGGATTAAGGGATTGCATAGCAAGATACGCCTCTGTCAACTGTCCAATGTCTTTAAGCAGGCGTGTCTTTGGAATCTTCAATATCACACTGATCAGCGCGTCCTCGCCCTCTTCGGAAGCGTCTTTTTGGATCATCCCAAAGTGAGAAAACACCTCCAGAAGTCTACCTTCGTACGAGGAGTAGCTCATTGTTTGAGTTCGCAGTTATTCTAAAAGAAATGACAACAATAATCCCCTGCAGTGATAATAAAAACCAGCGGTGAAAAGAATGTAGGAAAACCCTACTGATTAAACTGACTGGTCCCACACTTTATGTAGAATTCTACATTCTTTATGTTGCTAGTGGCCTCAAATCACCTTTTACGCTTATATGCCCTTACAAAAGCAAAAAAAACAAGCTAAATGGAATTTTGTGCGCTGGATTTCCTGAAAGATGCGGGTGAGTCTCAGTCAACATAAATAAGTTGGGAAATCGCTAGGATAAAAGACATGGTTATTGCATAAATGTTAGTTGAAGTGTGCACAAATGCATGAAGAAATTCAAGGCATATAATATCATTTTTGCCCTTAACTGTCTTGTGTCATTGCTGATTATTTTCAAAGCTTATTAAGAACTTCATAAGTGCCTGAATTAATTACCTGTGTGCCTAAACAACTAAAAATAAAGTAATTTGGCTTTTAAATACGTTTAGCTTTGATGATTGTATAATGCACAGCTACTAATCAAAAATGCACTTTTCTCCCCATCATCACTTATGG